CTTGCGGTTATCTCACTTTAGAAAGCAAGGCTATGATGAGGAAAGTGCAATGAAAGGGTTAGAGGCCAAAGATATTGCGCAAATGGGAAGATAGCCATTATAAAGCTGGATATAATTCTGAGAAATCATTAGCAGAGGACTTGCACAAATCATATTCAGCTAATCATTGAAAAGTTATAAGGGAACTCTTTCAAATACTAGGCTTTACCAGCATAGATAATAAGCATATTCTTTCCAGTAATATAGTATTAGAAACATTCATACAATCTTGTGAGAGGTTTATAGAAGCCCTGAATCAATCTCTATTACTCTTTGGATTTAAGTCTCATGCTAAGGTAACATCGGATCTTAATTCAGCTATAAGGGCAATTAATGCAATTGCTGGAAATTGGTGTGGTTATACTGTAAAGATAAATAGAAAAAAAAATAGGGTTTAAAGAAAAACAGGTTTGGGAACGTTCATATCAAATTAATCAGCAACTATATGATGGTCTTGGTTTTGGAGATAAAGGTGCACCAGAGCTTCCATCATACAGGTTGAAAACAGATAATAATATTCAGGAACTCTTTGACTCTATAGGATAGGAAAAATAATACTTTGGCCAGATTATTATTTAGCTAGGTGTCTCAATCATATCTGATTCCATTTTATTTTTTTTACTTTCGCGCCAGGCATGGTCATAAGGTCTACTATATGTGCTACAAATTCCAGTATCAGAATAGGTTCCCATTTTATAGACAGGGCATATTGTTCTAGAAAGAGCATTAAAATGTCTGAAACATCCTTCAGGATGCCAGCACCCATTCCCACAAATCAAACCATCTTTCTTGATGTATTGGCAAGAAAAACGAGCTATACGAGGTAATTTTTTGATATTAATAATCTCTCTTCACTTTTATTATAGATATTCAAAAATGCGATATCACAGGTAGAATATTTTTTCGAATTGAACGCCTTATACGATGCATTCACCAAGGCAAATGTTCTAGAGCCAAAACATATTTTAATCCTAGCTCGAGCATTATACTAAAAAATAAAATATAATGCCCAATTATTAGCCTGAATCGCCACAACTCAAAGCTATAAATTTTTTTCGTTATATCCTATATGTTAGTAAAT